AACATGAGCACTAAAACCAGTTTCAGTTCCCTCTGCCTTATTTTCACCTAATTTCTAGTGATAACATATTTAGGTTCTGCAGAAATACATCTTGGGGTAGGTTAAAAGGGAGTAGAAGTGGAAGTGAAATTTTCAAGTTGACTTTAGATCCTAAGTTCTTTACTGAAAAATATAACAACAGGTGCTATAGAAATGGTTCAGCAGGAGTCAGCTAGCTTTGGTTGTCAACTTACACAGCTGGGAGTAGGGAACCTCAACTATAGAATTTCCTCCATCAGATTAGCTTTTAGGTATGTGTGGGGGCATTTTCTTAATTGCTAATTTGATGTAGGAGGGCTCAGCCCACTGTGGGCAGTGCCATCCCTAGACAGGTGGGCCTGGACTGTAAAGCAAAGGTAGCTGAGCAAACCAGGGGAGAGGCAAGTTAGTAAGCAGTGTTTTTCTGTAGCTTCTGCTTCAAGCTCCTGCCCTGAGCCCCTGCTTGACTTCTCTGGATGACTATAACTTGTAAGCTAAATAAACCCTTTCCTCTCAAAGCTGCTTTTAGTCAGTGTTGCAAACACAACTACCTTTAATTTCAGCTCAGCTCCAGGAGATCCAATGTTCTTTTCTGGCCTCCATGGGCACCCTCACTCAGGTCCACATACCCACAAAGCACAAACATACACACACACACACACACACACACACACACACACACACAAATAAAAAATAAACCTTAAAAAGTAAAACTGGTCTTGCAAACACGACTACATTGTCTCCCTCCTTCTTCTGATATTAACCTTTACTTTAATGCTAAAAATTCTGGAATTACATGGATAGTAAAAGTGTAGACTGTGAATGAATCATAATCAAGTTCTCTCATGAGTAAAATACATGATGGCTGGTAGTTCATAGTTTTTTATTACTTGTTAATAGAGCCCTTAATGGAATGTTGTCTGGACTGTCACTTAAGTAAGAACACATTTATTCTTGTGTAATGTTTTATAGTGTAATAATAATCACATACACGCACTGTCCAATCTTTATAACAGTTCTATAGAACAGCAAAACTACTTTCTAACTAAAGCAAAATAAATTTTGCATGTTATCTTCATTCTAATGAACTTAAATTCATTAATTTTCACAAAGTATAGGAGACCGTATCAGTCTACATGAAGAAGTTGAATCTTGAGGAAATTAAGCAATTTTCTCCAAGTTACATGGTTGATAAATTCTAAATATTAAATTCAAATTCAGGTGCTGACAAGTTTAGAACGAAGATGTTCTTCTGCACAGATTATCATTATCTTTTACAAAACGACTGAGTATAATCAAATTATAGAAAGATAAGCGTAGAAGTTCATATTTCACCTTACTAAAAAAAATCCATTCTCATAGTTGATCACTCTTTAAGAAAAAAATCAAAACATTGATAAAATTATTTCCCCAAATAATAATACTAAGACTTACAAGAATACCATTGTGGTCAAGATAAAACTCTCTGCATTTAAAGAATATAAACCTGTTAAACTATTCCATAGAAGCAGATTAAAATTTTCATCTACAAATGTCCTTCAGATAGAAAGTTCATTCAATTCCATGAAATAGAGGAAAAAAGAAGTATGGGGCTCATGAACCAACTGTGAAGCTTCCGAACTGTGTAGGCACTGTGGTCCTAATTACAAAAGCAAAAGGTATACCAATCATAGAAACTCATGATCTAGTACAGCAACAAAGATGCAGCATAGACTTGATGGCACGGGGCTGATAAAACACCTAAAACAGATTAAAACACAGACTGATAGAATTTAGAAAATGACAAGAAAAAAACAAACAAACAAGGATCTAGCTAACAGGAGCTTTGAATCCAAGCTGTTACTCTGTGTCCCTTAATGTATAGCAATTTCTGCCTACTTTGTACATCTTTTAAAACTATAATCCTCTCATTTTTTAAATTCAAAATGGAGTTATTTTAAGGGGGGGAGGGAAGATTATACAAGGAACCTAGGGGATAAAGGGAAAGAAGGAGCTCAAGAGAGGTGGGACCATAGGAGAAGGATATTATTAAAGGAGAAATGGGAAAAACAGGGGCACCTTAAATAAAAACCATGGTGGAAGGGTTAGACAATGTGAGAGATTAATAATGCCTAGCTAGTTTTAGAAAATCAGAGGGAACCATATTAGGTCAACAACCTACTGACAGATTATACATAGAACCAGATCAAAGAATGTAATATGTATCTAGCCAAGGTTTATCTGAGAATATTTGGTTATTTACTCAACCTTATCTACATTGCATATGATAATTAGAAGTACCAGACTGGTGGAACTAACCTTACTGGATGTTTAACAAAGAAAGTTTGAGGCCTATACTAATGTGGTCAGAGGGACTTAAAGGACAGGTTTTGCCCCTTGCCCTCCAAGGTCGACTAAGT